AGAAGAGAAACTTCTACAAGAGATGAAACAACTCTTACAAGAGAAAAGAAAACCCTACCCTTTAGCTATCTACCCTAACAGCCGATAGAGAGGAGAGAAGTGGTAGCAACTAGGGAGAAGAAACAAACTAAAGAAAGAAGAAAAAATTAGGGCGAGAAAACCGGCTAGGGTTCTTTTTGGTTTGTTATTGTATGGTAGTTAAAAAAATACTATTAAGACAATCCCAACTTATCAAAATCTCATCACATTGATAAAGATGCATATATGCTGCCCATTCTATATATTATCGATGGGAATCTTAAAATTTTAGTCTTTTATCTTTCTTTTTTTTTAATAAGTACAAATTTAAAGAGGGAAAATTTGAACCCAACACTTAAAATTAAAAGTGCACATTTCTTAAGACTTTTTATAGTCAATTGGCCTTCTTAGCCAAGTGCAATTTTAGTCTTTTTGTCTGTTATGACTGTGATGCAACAATTGGTTTTTCGATTTTTTAATATTTTAGAAATATTTAATATTTTTTTATTTAATTAATATTTTATACTATATAGTTTAAAAAATAAAAGAAAAAATAGTATAATTAATCACAGCACCCTGCAATTTTCTCAAACAAAGTCTTCGTTAGTTTTAGAGGCTGTTTGGCGGAGCCTTTTTTGGAGTTTCTTTTTTAGTAAAAGTATAAAAATTTATTTCTTGAGTTTGTAATGTTTTTAGAGGGAATGTGTTTTTTTAGTAAAATTAATAGTGCTAAAATAATAAATTTTAGAGGAAGCAATGCATTGTTGCTTTTTGCAAAATTTAGTATTTTAGTACCATTTTACTAAAAAAGCAAGCATTCCTTTAAAAAGTTTTCAAAGATAAGAGACCAAAATTCTAAAATTTTTATTAGAAAAGTAATTTTAGAAAAATCTCTGGAAAACGGCATCTTATAATTCGCCAAATAGCTTCCTTGAGTACCCTCTTCTTTGGGCCACCATCAGTTTAATCAATCAACGACTTTTCAATTACCTAAAATATGTTTGAAACAAATAAAAAAACACAAGGGGAAACTGTCACACAGGGGTTTCTTAATTCGGAATTGTGGAAAATTGGACAGCAAGCTTTAGACTCTTCTAAGAGGATCAGATTTGCTTCACATCATTTTTTTTTTCATGATCTTTTTAGCTAGGTTGTGCATAATTGGTTATCTGTATTAGGGAGGCAATTTCATGAAAGCTGCATAAAAATAGGTTTGGTTTACATTTAGAAAATTTAATTTCTAAATGCAAAAACTATTGAAAAATATAGTTGATTATATCTCCTTTAAAATTCGTTATAAAAATGGTAAAAAATAGTAACAGGTTATTGAGGTTCTTTTTGGAGAAATGTAGTCAATTATATTAATTATAATTAGTTATGTTCTAAATAACAATGTGTTGTGTAGTTGAGTTATACCAAACTATATAATTTAATCTATTAAGTGGGGTAAGTCACTAACTCTCTCTCACCTATTAGTTTTTTGTTTTATAATCTAAACTACAACAATAATAAATTCTTTCCAAAATAATCATTTTTATATAGTAAGTTGACTAAGACAAAAAATGAGAAAAAGTGCTGTTACTGTACAACACATTTTATTAGATATTTGTGATTTTGATATTAAAAACTCTTTCTCTATTTAATAACTTTTGTTTTACAATCCGATACGAAGGATTTAAGAAAAAAAAAAAAACTAAATTTCAAAATATATCTTCCGAGATAGAGTAATCAAATCCAAGTTCGAACCTCATAGACAACCAGTTGTGGCTAAATTAACCTTTGTTAAAAACTAAAAGGCTAGGCTGCCACAGTGCAGCCTCTATTAGAGTCATGACTCATGTCATGAGGTGTCAGCCCCAAATCCTAATCTATATGGGTCATGATGGAATTCTCAATTAATGTTATTGTTTGCCCTACCGACCTCAGTACCACAGTATTTGTCACTTATTACATCTTTTAGGAGGCGCTACCTTCGTCCTCTCAAAAATAATATACTAATTACAATGTGATATCACATTTCAATTTTTGTAGTGCATAAGTTATGAGTATATTTAATATTATTGTTTGCATAATAAATATAAATATTGATTTTAATTTAATTAATTGTATAATTAAAATGATCTAGGGTTGCAATAATGTTAAAATAAATATCATTTTTTATGGTTTATTTATGAAATTTATTGTACAATGTGATGCATTTGTTACATTTTTAACTTATTTAAAAGTATAAATTAGACAAATTCTTTTAATTTTATAATATTTGACTCTTTTTAATTGAAAATTTATTTACAATATTATACATATATAACTATTTAAATAATATGTTATGATTATAAATTTATACATTTATATGACATTATAATTTTATCATTTTGACCTCAATTTAGTTACTAAGAAAGGGTTAAATACCAATGAACTTTATATTTTGAATTCTTTTGATCTCTAAACTATTTTCTATGCATTTTTTGTTCCTCAATTTTAAAAATTACATTTTTTTCTAAATTCTTTCGGTCTCTAAATTTTTTTAAGTCCTTTTTTTGTTTTTCAACTTTAAAAATTATATTTTTTTTTGTTATTTTATTAGTTAAGTAATGATATAACATTGGGTCAATCCAAAATGATATATATATATATATATATATATTTATGATGTGGAAACGACACATCATTAATAATTTAGCTTATTATGGCTCTTGGTGTCCAAAAACGTTTCTGGTGGAGGAAAAGTCTGAGGAAGTAGAAGATTTTAGAGATATTTTTCCTATTTTATAAGTTTTAATATTTTAATTTAAAATTTTTATTTGGTGGATAATTTTTGGTTTTTTTAATTTATTAATTTATGTATTTAAGTTAAATTATCAACATAAATGTCACATATTTTACGCAACTAAGTTTTTTTTTTTTTTTTT